TTGCGTCGGTGCTAGAAACATAGCTCCACCATTTCCCACTGGAGTCCAATCGACAGTCATTCTAGTATACTGCACATGATGATCGGTCCTCAGGCATGGAAAGAAGAAAAAGTGCGCTGGAAAGGTTATGACATCAGGCCTTTGGAATGTATGTGGTATAATACATATTCAACTACTGATTACTGATCCAGTTATAATCTATTTCACTGCGTATTTGGTTGCAGTTCTTTTCTACTATTTTAAATACTGAGCAATTGTACCTATTATTTTTGAACAAATGCTTATGATTTAAAATATATATTTTTGTATTTATGAGTTGTATTAAACTTTGACATAAGGAGATAAAAGGTGACCGTCGTGTCTTTACCCTGGTTCTAAGCTACCTTCCCACCAATTTTCAGCCAAATCGATTCCGCCGTTCTTGAGTTATAAATGGTGTATCTAACGCAACTTTCTTTTATAATATATATAGATTAAATAGTGCAAAAGTAACTTTAATTCCATATAAAACTTTAGTTGAAATCCATTTATTCATACAATAAGAAAATGGCTTCAAACAAGCAAAAAATTAGTGTCAGCATATTTTCTAATGGAATAAAAATAAGAACAATTAATGATTATGGCGTCAAAACAAAATTAATTATCATGTGATAAGTAATGCAAAATGTTTCAATATTTCCCGGTGCTGGAACAGCCATGCTTATTTTTTTTTGAAGAGCGGCCGAAATCGAGCATTTACTTTCGCTTAGTACTCCTTTCTGCGTTAAAAGAAAATCTGGTCGAGCCAATTCCCAGGGTGACTGAAGTATTTTCGTGTAGTACACTTTTCGGCGTTGGCGCCCCTCGGCGGCGCTTTAAAAAATAACCCTGGTCGAGCCAATACTCAGAGTGAATGAAGTACTTTTGCGTAGTACTCCTTTAATCGAAGTATTTTATTACGTAATATTATTTAATTTTACTTAGCTGCTCATTAAATTTAAATTTAAAAATTTAAATAAGAAAATATCCATATGCATTGAAAGATTATCTATACTTATTTTAATTTGAAATATAATTTATAGAAACTTGTTTTTATTAGAATTGAAATTGCTAAATAAAGAGGAATTATAGCGAAAAAGAGAAATTTTAGCGAATGTGGTTGTTGTTGTAACGGTTTATCAATCCCTGTTAGGATGGTAAGGGTTATCCATATTGTCCTCTAGCGGGAGGCCCACCAAACGTGCTGTTTCGACGGTATCGGGCCAACGGTAAAAAAGGGTGTTAGATGAGTAGAGTTAGCAGAGCATGCAAATAGGTGACCAGTGTCTTGCGGAGACTCGTTGCGTGCATGACATATATTGGATATTTCGGGGTCTATTCTTTATAAGCTGCTACAATATCCAGAACGAAGCTGCGCTAGGGTCTCTCGCGTTAACTCGAGCTCTTTGTCTGCATTGGGTTGGTGTTTTGTCGACGTAGTTAAGGATGCTTCTGGCAGGCGGTTCCGCTCCAATCAGGTGCCTGCAAGAGTAATTTCTACGAAAGCATGCTAACAGGAACTGCTTGGGGAGGAGTTCGTTATGCTCCTTAACTGGGAGCATAAACGTCTCACTATGTAGGTGTTCGATGGGAGACATCAAGAGGCATCCTGTCGTGGTCCAGAGGGCAGTATTTTGGCAGGTCTGTAGTTTCATCTGCTTAAAAATGCATCCAGGCCACCATATTAGTACGCCGCAATCAAGGGCCGGCCGGTCGATTGCCAACAACTTTTCTTTGTCTTTTACCCATGTGCTGCCGGCTAGCGACTTGAGGATTTTTTTGCGGCTCGCGGTCGTATGAGGAGTGAAGGTCCCTAGAATATCAAAAGTTACACCTAAAATCTTAGGATTATTGACATTCGGAATTTTGACGCCATCGATTGCAGTATTAAGATCAAGGCTATACTCCTTTGTCCAGTTTGTTAATATAGTCGCTGTGGATTTGGTGAGGGAAAATGTTAGGTTCCGTGCACTGAGTAAACGAAAAAGACCGGTGAGGTAGCCGTTTACCTTTGAACACATGCCATCGGTTTTTTTGCCCGACGTGAATGAATATCGTGCAATCATCAGCGTACGAGGTTATAGAAACTCCCTCTGGTGGCTGTAGAAGTTGAACAGAAGCGGGGAGATAACACCACCCTGTGAAACCCCCTGTTTAATTCTTCTCAGTTTAGATGTTTCACCTCGAAATAGTACGTATGATTGACGACCGCTCAGGTAGTTTATGGTCCAACTCTTCAGTTCTGAAGGAAGCGTAGTGCCCTTTTCGGAATCCATGTTGGTGGCTGGCTAGGCTCAGGTTGTGAGTGAAGGTCGGGAGTAGCAAGGCCTCAAGTGTCTTCACTACTGGGGAGAGTTATCCGACGATAGGGCTCCCTTAGTTAGCGCGTTTCCCAGGTTTCAGTAGTGGGACTCTACATATATGTAAATGTATACCCACTGGAGAGCAAATCCGTCAACATGTTTACTAAATGCGACTAAAGGTCCTAGGACGGTATTCTAAACTTTTCCCGAAAATATATATAGTGGGGAGCAAAACCATCAACATGTTTACTGAATTTTGGTCGCATTCAGTCCTTATAACTTTCTTTCTGCTAACAGTATCGGCAACATTCATACACCAAAATAAAGATAATAATTTAATTTACTAAAAATAGAAAACAGAACAGCTTTTATTTATTCTTGAACGAAAATGTACGATAAATTCCATTTACCAGTAATTTTGACAGTTTAGCGGAATGGCTGGGTTAGGTAATTCCATAGAAGTTCTGAGCGGAGAAGCAAATAACAATTTATATTAGTTACGTTGTGAAATGTGAAAGTTACTGCGAGACGTTGAAGGCAAAGTTATTGTTTTAATTAAAAACGGCTATTCAGCTAGGAAAATTGCGGAAAAGTTAAATATAAGTCGACAAACGGTAATAAGTGTTAAGAAAAGACAAAATATTGTCCAAGTTGTAAACGTTGGAGGCCACGATTATTGCGCAAAAATTAATGTAGGGCTCCTCGAGAAGCTGCTGCTAAGTTAGAACTTCAAGCGAGTACATGGACAGTTCGATGCTCTTTCAATTAAATTGGTATGGTTGCTGCGGTTAAACAAAAAAAAACTGCTTTATCTGAGCGAAATGTTAAAGCTTAATGTTTGCCGAGAATATTGGACAATTGAGGACTGAAAAGGGTTATATGGGCAGACGAGACGAAAATGAAAAGGTATAAATCTGATGGTAAGGCATACGCAAGAAAAGCTTCAGCGTAGACAGGTAAAGCAAACTGTCAAATACGGAGGGGGAAGTTTGATGATTTGGGGTTGCTTCACGTGGTGGCATATTGGTCCTTTGTTTAGAATAAGTGGAATAATGAATAAGGAGATATATCTCCAAATTCTAAATTCACAGTTGCTTGACTTCGTCGACGAATGTGCCTATCCAGCGGAAGAAATAATTTTCCAACAAGATGGCAACCCAAAACATACGGCGAAAACTGTCCAAGAATTGCTCCAAAACCAAGGATTTAAAACTTTCAACAGTCGCTAATCAGCATTGATCGAGTGCGGACGTGTTACTTAGTTGATTGTTAACAACAACAATTTGTGCTCTCTTTTGGTGTTATTTTTTTTTTTTTGCACCCCGGTCTGCTTACTTAAGTAACGCGATTAATACTTATTTTAAGTGAGAAATATAATCCAAGACTTATATAAGTGTATTATAATTTTTCCACTATGCCCCCGGTGGGCTTCCAGTTCGGGGACAGCAGGTTTGCTGCGCTGGCCCAAAGTATATTGTGATTAAATCCGATGAGAATACTACACCCCTTTCGAAGGTTTCTTGTTTACGTGTTTACAATGCCTTGCTTACCGTGAGCAAAGATATAAACAAAATTAGTGAATTACGCGACGGCAGCCTATTACTGCTAGTAAAAAATAAGCAAGTAGCAGAAAAGTTTATAAAAACGAAATGTCTTTTCAACATTGGCGCTGTTAGCACTAGCTATCATCAAGATCTCAATTGTAACAAAGGCACCATTTATGCACCGTTTTCAAACAATGTGCCTGAAAGCGAAATAATAGAAGGGCTGAGTTCTTACGAAGTTTATAAGTTCACTCGCAAAGTTGAAGGTGTTATAAAGCCTACTGGTGTTATGCTAATATCATTCAACAGTTATTCCCTTCCAAGCAAAATAAACATCGCATGGAGGATGAGCTCTGTGCGACCGTACGTGCCTAATCCAATGCGCTGCAGGTCATGCCAGAAATTAGGTCATACGCAAAAACATTGTAAAGGTTCCCCAACATGCGAAATTTGCTATTTTCCTTCTCCACACGATAATGACTGCATCCGAGTTATGTGTGCGAATTGTTCTGGCGAGCATCGCGCTTCTGACTGTACATGTCCAAAGTATATGCAAACTAAAGCAATTTTAAAAATAAAGACACTAGAAAAGTGCAGTATGCACGAAGCCCTCAAAAAGTATAGAGAAAATACTTCCCTCCCTTCCCTCACTGCTAGCTTAACACATGTGTTTCAACCTACAAAAGAGGTATCTCTGTAACCACCACACCAACAAAAATTTCAGCCATCAACAATTCCACAAAATCTAAAAATATTCATAGAACTGCCGACAATGACTTGCCTAGTACATCAAAACAAAACGCAGAGGTTACCTCTGCACCCAACTCATCAATAAACTCTTTAACCAACAAAAATCACTCACCAAACGCCAACAATAAGCATCTTTCCATCAACAAGCCTGCCTCGATCAGTTCAGACTACAACAACGTCTCACATTCAGCTAAAAATATCATCGACAACTGTACCCAGATAAGATAAGATAAAGAATGAGGATTGCGCCGCGACCTAGGGTCTATTGTGCCCTCTACCAACTCACAGCATCTCACTTAGCCCCAGCAAATTGATGAATTCCAGTATCCTGCTAGGTGCTAATGAGGCGATGTGATCCCTATTTAGAAACATGGATCCAAGGGCCTTAATCCTGCGTCTGCAGATTGCTGGGCAATCCATTAGCAGGTGTTTTGGAGTTTCGGATTCCCAGTCGCAGAACCGGCAATTTGCGCAAGAATCTAGGCCCATGTTAAATAAGTGCTTCTTGAGTTTGCAATGGCCGGTGTAAAAGGCGACTAGGAGCCTGACTTTATCTCTTGGGAGATTGATTATGAGTTTAAACCTCTTGAGGTTGTAACCCTTCATTAGCAGCTTTGCGTGACGCAAGCCTGGAAGTTGTTGCCAATGTATCTCCCTACCCACTGCTGCATCCTTGCGGAACTGTTCCTTTAAGGTGTGGGGACCTACCGCTATAAAGGGTTCTGGTCTTACCATGTTGGTGGGTGCTGCAGAGCGGGCAAGTTCATCGGCCAGTTCGTTTCCAGCAATGCCTTTRTRRCCCGGCACCCAAATAAGGTGCACTTGGTTGCATTCTGCCAGACTATTCAGCCGATCTATACACTCTTGCACCAATAGCGATTTTACCTCGTATGATGAGATCGCCCTGAGTGCCGCTTGGCTATCGCTTAGTATGGCTATACGTTCGTTGCGATAGCCGCGATGGAGGTTTAACTCTACGCACCGACTTATAACAAATACATCCGCTTGGAATATGCTCGGAAACCTTCCCATAGGTATGGAGAGTTTTGCACGTGGTCCTGCGACCCCTGCACCGATTCTCTCCGAAGTTTTCGAGCCGCCGGTGTACCACCTGATCGAGCTATCCCTGAGTACTAGCTCGAAAGCGGAGTCGCTCCAATCGGCCTTGTTGCCGACGGTGATCTTAAACTTTTTACTGAAGTTTAACTTTTTGGTAATGCAGTCCCTAGGAAGAAGAGCCAGTGGTATGGGGCCGCTTAGCTCTTCCATACGTTGGGACGAGATCACTTTACCTTTGCCAGTTCCCTCTGCTGTCATTTAAAGCAGAGTGTGCTTGGCGACTTGACCAATTACTAGGTGCAGCGGGGTGAGCTCCAGCATGGCCTCATGTGCCGCTGTCGGGCAGGTACGCATTGCTCCTGTCATACAGACACATRCAAGCCTTTGCAGTTTCGACAGTTTAAGTTTAACCGTCGATTGCAATGCTTTCTATGCCCATACCACCGCTCCATAAGTAATAATTGGTCGCACTATCATAGTGTACAACTATCTGATAATCCTTGGTTTGCACCCCCAGGATCTACCAGCCAACCGGTTGCACACCATTAGTGCCTTTGTAGCTTTGACCACGGTCAGGTCGATATGCTGCTTCCATCTCAGCGTGAGATCGCAGAGAGTACTCACAAATTTTCCTCTGGCTATAATAACAATGTCGTCCGCATATCCTTGACAGCGGATTCCATTGTTAGTCAACAACACCAGCAGCTCATCCACGACTATGCTCCACAACAGGGGGGATAGCACGCCTCCCTGTGGGCAGCCCCTTGTAGTRCCGAGACGAATACTGGTGCCTCCTGATGTGGTTTCAGCTATTCTGGTGCGCAGTACCGCCTCTATCCACCTGCGCATTGTAGGTGCCACATTTCTTTTCTCCAGTGTCCTTACTACGCTCCCGTGGGACGCGTTGTCAAAGGCACCTTCGATGTCTAAGAAGGCGCATAACGTCACCTCCCCGGAGTCCAGCGAGCTCTGTATCTCCGAGGTTAGCTGGTATAGGGCGGTGTTCGTCGACTGTACCCAACAAAACTCTTTCTTAAATCCCAAACTTTTTAGTCCAACAACAGCCTCTTTCATTTCTAACTTAAACAACTCCTTAAACTCGCTTAATAAATATACTGACTTCAACAATACTACTACCAGCACTACTGTGCAATCTAATCCGCCTAATCACGAAAATCTCTTTCCAACAACAAGCATTTCCAGCGATAATCAACACTCTACTGAATATACTGAACAAATAGAAATTGACTCTGAATAAATACGCTTAGCTTTTACTYTCTTTTGAACTAGTTCTCAATTGGTGTCACTCAGCTTCAATTGACAGCTCATACGAGTTGAAATTCTAGCTCTCTTCTTTTTCCCTTTTTCTTTTTTTCTACATAGATCTTATGATTCCAATATTGCAATGGAATTTAAACGGCTACACTAATAATTATAATGAGCTTCAATTATTAATACAAGATCATACCCCAGCTATTATACTCTTAAATAATTAATTATTAATACTCACATCTCTTTCAACTTGTCGGCTTTTACTCCTAAGCAGTACATTGGCATGTTTCACAATCTTCCACAAATTAGCACAAGTAAAAGAGGCATTGCGATTCTCATAAGAAGAGATATTCCACACAAAATTAATGCCATTCAATCCAGCTTGCTGGCTATGTCGATCTAAATTATCTTAGTTAAAAAAATCACCATTATCTGCACCTATATTGCACCAGACGAACAGTTTACCAGTACAGACATCCTGCAATTAATCAACCAAGCTTCTACTCCTTTAATTTTCGCTGGTGATTTTAATGCATGGAGTCCACTATGGGGCTCTCCAATAGCCAACAAGAGGGGCAAATGCATTGAAGACGCTTTACTTTCATCTAACTTAATATGTTTGAATAACGGATCCGCGACACACTTTTCCACTCACTCCACTTTTTCCCACTTAGATCTTAAAATGTGCACCGACACACTTGCCACAGAGTGCGAATGGAGTATACTCGATCCCCTGCATGGAAGTGATTGCACCTAGGTTCAATAACTAAAAACCACAAAATAAATAAGGTATTCAAAACTGATTACGCTGATTGGGAGAAGTTTCAGACACATTGCGAGATAAATAGCAATAATATCCCAATATCTGACAACCGTAACCAAGAAAGTGCGAGTTTAAAAAAATTTATTCGTTCAGCAGCGAATGTTAGCATTCCTTATACAAAGCCAACAGCAAGTTCAAAGAGTGTTCCTTGGTGGAATAAAGAAATCGCTGAATTGCGGGGAAAAAACAGACAGCTTGGTATGAATACAAACGGGCTCGATCACTAGTCAACTTAATATCTTTCGAAAACAGGCCAAGCGTAAATGTTTTCAGGATTTCACAAGCACAATAAATCCTTCGTCTAGTCCTAACTTAATATGGTAGGTTTTAAAAAAACTTTCTGGAGTGCCTAGAAATCTAACCATTCAATGCGTAAAAGGGCCAACAGGTTTGGTAACCAATCCATCCGAAATTTCCGAGTTATTTGCAAACCACTATTCTGGAACAAGCTCAGATATTTCATTCAGCACACAGTTTCAAACCTCTAAAATTGGCATGTTTCCAATTCCCACGACAGCCGGTTCTACGTACCGGAATTTACTCGGATTTCATCCGACCATGGGCTGCCCTTCGGCGATCTAACCCCGTTTGGATCGGTGAATGTTAATTTGTGTGTGTCGTCACCAATGGATGGAGTCATTTTAAGACCTGCTCAGGCCTTAAGACCCATAGGGAGTGGACCACCCTACGCCTACGCAATACTGCGACGCTATCCTCTACGGCTGTGCAATCAGCACATAGTTCGCGCGCTGCGCCGCCACCCACCTCGTGTGGCCAACAGAGGACCTCCACGGTCCCCCGGAGCTCAACTAGGCAACATAGCTCCCAATCGGACTTGTCCCGATAGCTCCCGATCCATAGCTGCGGTCCAATAAACCAAACTAAAAAGCCGCTCAGAACTTCTGAGTTGTGCAGGTTTCAACGTTATACGCAAAGATCACGAGCGAGATAATGGTGGTGGCCTAGCCTTCATATTGCACAACACCGTGCAGTATCGTCTAATCGATGAAGCACCGACCGCAGGGACGCTACCCTAGATTGTCAGGGCACAGCTGTCCGGTCGGGCGATGTCGAGCTCGAAATATTTAATATATACATCCCCCCATTTACATGTTGCCGTACAGGATATCACCCGAATATAGGTGCGCTACTTCGTGGTGAAAACCGTTTGGTGCTAGGCGACTTTAACGCGCACGACGATCTTTGGCATTCCTGTCTGTCAAATGACCGTAGGGGGATGGAGCTGGCGGAACAGATCGACGATT